TGGTTCTTTCACAAGCACCTTGAGCTCCTCAGCATTAAGCAGCTCAACAATCTGAATCTCATTGAACATGTGCCTTGCTGTGATCCCATTTGATAATCACCCAGGCAAAAGTTGGGGCTTGTTACTTTGAAGATGATAAACACTGAAAAAAGACACCAAATAACACTTGTGGATCTTGAAGCTCCAGGACAGTGCTTTTTCTGCTGCACTGACAAAAGAATATAATTTAAACATTGTTTTCCTTCCAGCTCCTTTCTCACCTCTACCAGTAATCCTAAACTCTGTCAAAATATTTTTCCTTAGCAAGAAGTTCTGCCAATGGTGACATGGAATTGGTCCAACAGTGGAACATGAAGAACAGAAGGCTTTTACCTGTTGCAAAAGACATCTGAGAATCAGAGATAAAATAAGGTCCTTGAGGGCCTTGCCTTTCATCTCAATACAAAAAGAGGTAACAATTTGTTGCCTGAAGCTAAGCCCTACTGATTTCCTTTCCCCATCACGTTTTTTTGATTTTCATTTCCCATCTGAGGTTGCTCATGCGAATGGCTCGCACATCAAGAGGCCCTACACTAGGACGGGCAGGTTCTTCCTTGGAACTCTCAACCATCCCTTGGAAGACCCTGATTTTGAGTAACCACCATTCCAGCATAAATTAGACTGTCTGTTCACTGTACACACTGGCAGACATTCCCAGGATGTCAGCATTGGAAATGCTGTCCACCACCACCATCAGATCCTGAGAGCAGGAATTCGAGTGCTTACAGGTTACTCCCCACTCTTGATTCTGCTGACCAACCTTTCACATCTGCCCCACACATCCACAAACCTGTTAAAGATGGCAACAACTCACAGCTATTTGGGTTTTGTACACTGAACTCTAGACAATAATCCCACTGAGAACTTCGAAATCAATTGCAATTTGAGACAGTAAAAACTTTTTAATCGTGTAGAAAACATTTAAGATCAGAATTGGCACCAACTTAAGAACAATTTAACAGAAAACATGAAATAATCTTATAAGCATGAAACATTTTGCACTTGGCTCTGAGATGTCAGAGCCTCTGCTATTTCACATTCAAGAAAGAAGCATTTTAAAGAAGCATTGTGAGCAGAACCACTGTTGGAATCTGAAAATCTGGAATGCTGTTTCCTCCTTAGGGCAGCTTATGACAGCAATGGTCAGCCAAAAAAATATTTTTATGTTGCATTCATGCATCCACTGTAAGAAATCCCACTGATTCACTAATTTCCTGTGGGTGGAACGTTTTCATGGAGATACTGGAGAGCCAAATCTGTCCACTTCATTTCTTGCTCTTTCACAGACTCAGTGGTGCCACCGTTGTCTTGCTCTGGTTCAGGGAGCTCATTCTGAGAACAAAACACAGGTAGAATGCATTCTACATGTAATACACTTTCTGCAAGCAGCAGGTTGTTATGATTAGTATGGATAGATACAAAACCCACAAACAAGACCAGAGGGTGCATCTGAACAATAAATATCATACATACTGATCCACTTAAAAATATTGCTGAGCCTCATCATGAACAGTATTCTTTTCATTTGAATATGGTTATTCTTTTCATTTGAATATTCATTTGAATGTGTTTAATCTGAAAGGTAAATTGTTTTCCAGGACCCTGGGGCCTTGCTATACACTCAGACTGCACACACAGTGAGGGAGAATATACAGCAAATGCAAAGTAAGTAAATAACAGTACAATGCATTTATTCCATTGTTTGTTTGCAATGTGCTGTTTCTGCTGTTGCCAAGAATACAAATACTGCAGACAAATGGTTCTGTAAAATGTTACTTTCTTATGGCAGGTTAGAAGTCCTTCCTGTCTGTATGCTGGAGTCAGGTGTAGCTGTGCTGGATCAACAGCAGAAGCCAGAACCCCCTGCCAGGTGTGCCCCAGAGCTGCTCACAGCACAGTAAAGGGAAGGAAAGTTTAACTGAGATTTCATTTTACTTCCTTCTATTATTTGTTCTCTGTCTTGCTGTATTGGTGTAGTCACACTGAGTGTGTGCTATTCTGCCAGATACCATTTGGGCAGGAATTCTGAGTTCTAGAATTTAGAGTTCTAGAATTTCCTCTGGAAATCCCAGCTGGAGCTAGATAAAGTGTTTCAGCTTTGAAAACAATGAATGATTTGAACACATCTGAGTTCCCAGAAATGGCTTGATTAAGCACTGGAGCAGATTCTCAGGACAGGCTCAAATACCACTTTCACAGCCATTCTGGTTGCTCCTTTGCAATGTCCCTGAGTAAGTCTCCTGTGAATTCATGCTGTTTTCTCTATGTGATCAGAGCCAATCCCATCTCTGGGGATCTTTATATCCACAGCCAGGCCTTTCTATTGGTAGTTGGTGAGGCTTCCTTCTCTGAGGCTATCATTGTATGTGACTGTAAGCCATCACGAGATGGCTCTAAGGGAAGAAACAATAATGTTTGGACTCAGGGTAAAGGCAATTGTCAACAAGGAACCTTTTTATGATACTCGGCTTGCCTAATAAAGGCAAAGGAGGGTTTGTGCTCTTTTAGCTGAGAATCACACTTCTGCAAGATGCTTCCCTCAAGCCCAACTCTTGGCAGGAAAATGTGTGCTGTACATATGGACTTTGAGTTGTGCAGCTGCTCCTCGCCCTCTCTGAAAAGCCAGTGGTGGCAGGGCTAACGCTTGAACCATGCCACAAATTTGGAGATGTCTCTCTGCTGAAAGAAACCCCACAATCCCCACGGCTGCTTTATGTGTGCTAGCTGGGGTAAAGCTCGTGTACCAGAGAGAAAAAGGGAAAATCCTCAGCTACCTCTAACTTCCCTGTAAGTTTCAAAATAGCCAAGGAAAGGTGTCAGTGTGGGAGATCTGAAGCTTTAGCTCTGGGCTCTGTGGGATCAGCAGTAGCTTTTCCCCTGCTGCCCCTCTCTGACTTTGCAGCTGTACCCTGGATGAAAAGAGAGGTGCCATGCCTTGGACACATCACCACAGGCAAGAGTCCTGCTGCACCTGCCAGTCCTTCACTGCTGTCCCAGAACTTCCAACAGCAACACTGAATCTGGAAAAGACCGCTTTGAAACACTTATGAAAATGTCTCAGCTTCTTTTAATGGCATTGCAGGAAGCAGATATAAAGTGTAACCAAGACTGGAACTGTATGTGAGACTGATCCTCTGCTCTCCCAACAACCAGGAAAGTACCTCAAACACCAGGAACAAGAAAGGGAAGCAGAGAAAAAGGATGATTCTACTTCTCCCTGATGCCAAACCTAGGACAGTGCAATGGGAAAGGAACTCCAGTTCTGAGAGGATTCAGCAACTGGTCAGGGGACAAGCAACAGAAGCATCCATGTCCTCATGCACTCAGGAATGACTGGCATATAGGGCACAGAAGGAGTCCCTTCCGTGAGAGACTGGATCTTCCGTGGAGATCCAGGAGCCTCTTGTACAAATTAGCCGCACCACGAGGAACATTCTGTGCCTTTTCTTGGAAGGGACTGTGATGAACGCAGCAGCCTTAACTCAGATTGATAAGTAGCAATTCACCTACCAGAGGGATGGCCACATCCTCGTAGGGCAATTTATCTTCCCTCCACGCATCATCGATCAGATCCAGGATCCTGCCATCCCTCTGCACCTCGCTGTCCATCGTCACAGCGGCGAGAGCAGCTAAATCTGTGACACAAAGCAGATGCTGTTTTAGCAACATCCCCAGCCAAGGAGCTGGAGTCTGGACTATTGGCTTGCTCCAGTTTTGATGAAATCCATATGAAATTTAAACTTACAAGGATACCTTGATTTCCCTAATCCACACAAAAAAGGGTTATAACCACATAGAACAACTTCATCTGAAAAGAACTCTATCAAAGTGAATTGCAGACTGATATGCACTGGAAATGAATATATAAAACCAGATGGTTATTACTGATATTTACATGTATTTTATATCTACTGACTGACTTTTAGAAGTCTAATTTGAGTGAGTTTGAGCACCTAGAGCTGCTCAGAAGCCTTTGCTGGCTGCTGGCTTACAGCTCCTGAGCAGTGACGTGCCTCACCTGTCTGGGAGAGTCACAACAAAGGACTTCAGGGTACCCAGAATTCTGCCCGAACCTGAAGTCCAGGAAACCGGTGAAACAGAAGCAAAACGAGACCCATCTTTCACCCCCAGCTCCTATAATTACTCCAGACTGTTTAACTGTACTCTGCCCTCCTTGAAGGATCACCTCAGGCCCTCGCCCCGGTGTGATGCTGCGGGGCGGCAGCAGCAGGCAGCCCGACCCTGGCGGGTGTGAGAGAACGGGCACTCGTTCAAAACCGAGCCAGGCCTGGCACTCGCCGGCTGCCGGAGCCGCGATGTGGGCGGCGATGGGCACGGGGCTGAGCGCACCCCAGCCCCGGCGCGCTGCGCTCCCTGCCTCTCCCGGCCAGCACGGCTCCGTGTTCCGCGGTGTCCCAGGGCTGTGTCCCAGGGTTGGGTTGTGTCCCAGGGCTGTGTCCCAGGGTTGGGTTGTGTCCCCGCGGTGTCCCAGGGCTGTATCCCAGGGTTGGGTTGTGTCCCCGCGGTGTCCCAGGGCTGTATCCCAGGGTTGGGTTGTGTCCCCGCGGTGTCCCAGGGCTGTATCCCAGGGTTGTGCCCCCCTGTCCCCGCGCTCCCCAGCCTGCCCTACCCTGCCCATCTCCGCGGCCGCTGTTGCGCAGGCGCGGCCGCAGCGCATGCGCAGCGCTGCCGCGGCGGGGCCGGGCCGTGCCCGCTGCCAGGGTGGGAAAGGCGGGAAGGAGGGAGGGAGGAAGGAAGGAAGGGAAGAAGGAAGGGAGGAGGGCGGCTCGGCCAGCCAGCGCCGGGGTGTCGGGCAGCCCGCAGCGGAGCTCCCCGGGGTGCGGCGCCGGAGGGGCTCGGGCAGCGGAGCTGTGCCGCGGCGGGCGCGGGGCAGGCGCTGTGAGGGCTCGGCTGCGGCTGGGAGCAGCGGCGGCAGCGGGGAGTGCCGGCCGGGCCCGCTGGCCCCGGCCGCTGCACGGACCTAAGCGGCACCAGGGTCGGACATTAGGAGCAATTCCTTCACAGAACGGGTGATTAGATACTGGAAAGGGCTGCCCAGGGCGGCGGCGGCGGCGTCCCCATCCCTGGAGGTGTTTAAGGAAAAGACTGCACGCGGCACTCGGTGCTCTGGGCTGGGTGACAGAGTGGGGATCGGTCACAAGATTGGACTTGATGGTCTCAAAGGACTTTTCCGAGCTCAGTGACTCTGAGATTCTCGCCCTGGCGAGGGCTGGTTCACTTCGGGCTCCTGCCGCAGGTGCCGTTCCTGCCGCTGGCAAACGGAGCTCGCCCGTGGTATTGCTTTTGGGAGCTCCTTTTGTGTTCATTGTAAGCATGCTTCCAGCAACGCTTTAAGATTGCATCTTTCTGTGTTTCTAAGTGCGAAGTAATCCCAGTCTTGTCGCATGGGCACTATTCTTAAGTCCTCCTGTGTATTGTAAAGTTCTCTCCACTTCACTCTGCTACAGTTCTGCCTTGAGCTGGAATGCTAAACCTTTTTTATTTTTAAATGTGTTGTCTTGTTTTGGACTTTTTTTTTTTTTTTTTTTTTTTGTTTTTTTTTTTTTTTTTTTTTTTTTTTTTTTTTTCAAATACTTCACATTTCTTCACTTTCAGAGGTGATCAGCCAGCTTTCCTTCCTTCAACTGTAGTTAATGAAGGAGATTGTTTCCTCTTCTGGGTCTTTACTCAGGTTCCTGTAACTTGCATGTTGCAACTTGCAAGCATGAGAGGCCAAAATGTAATACTAAGTCAGCAAACTGTACGTAGCATAGAACTGGCTAGAGGTGTCTGATTTTAAGGCTTTCCCCCAAAATCTGGCTATGCCAACTGTGGCTGTGCCTCCCATGGGAGCGTCCAAGACCAGGTTGGACAGGGCTTGGAGCAACCTGGGATAGTGAAAGGTGCCCCTGCCCATGGCAGCGGTTTAGCATGAGATGGCTTTAAGATCCCTTCCAACCCAAACTGTTCTGGAATTCTATGCTGTCTGTCTCCTCATCTCTCTGCCCACTGAAAATTGATTCTGTGTAGGTGTGATTAGAATGAAAGAGGAGAGCTGCTACTGTCTAATGTCTGCTGTGGCCACCTGGAGAGCTCTTGGAATGCTGTCAGCAGCTCAGGGGATCTGCTCATCTGCTCTCCTCAGCACCCTGCCCTCAGCAGAACCACAAAGTTGTTCTGCATACTGATTGAGTTTTGTTACAGCACCAAAGACAGATGAAACAGTGTCAGAATAGGAATAGGATTTTTCTCTGTGCATTTTTTATATGGCTGTGGTTTAAAACACTGCTCCCAAGGACAGGTTTTAATCTCTGAGTTGTGTTTTTAAGTGCTGTAGGAGCACGATAGAAGATTCTTTGGGAAAGAGAATGAAGCTGAGCCTGCATTTGTCAAAGTCTCCCTTGCTGTGACCTGTTCCCCTTTTGCTGATTGCTTAATAATGTTATATTAATCTTTGAGGAAAGATGGTGGAAGAATTCATCTTCAGTACTTGGAAAATGTGTAGATTTTGGAAACAGAAATTTGTGTTAATAGCTCTGGACAAGTTAACCATTTTTATGTTAGCTGCAGTTTCATGAAGGAGACATTGAAATAAATTCTGGCTTCCTGGCTCTGGTTGCGTGGAAAATTTTTATTCCCCATTTTTGGCTTTAATGTAAACTCTTCTCGCTTTCACCACAATATGAAATTTCTTTGGGTATGCATGTGTTTGTTACTTAAAAGGTGAATTGTACTGCTACTATAAAGCTGTTCAACTTATTTTCATAATTTAAGAGGAAATTTTAAGGAATTTATGTTTTCTTAAAATTCCCACAACTGTATGAAGAGCCAGTGTGTTCTGAATGCTGTGGTAAACTACATGGTCTCTTTAAGCTAGTCTGTAATAGAGGCCTGGAAAATATGTAATTTATGGATGAATTCTTACTGCTACTTGCTGGTGTTTTCTCTCTGAAGTGACAAACTTTGAAATCCAAATGTTCCTGTTTCTCCACATGCTGGTGCTCCCAGTAGATCTACCAGTCCTTCTGTTGAGTTCACACAAGTGCAGAGTCTAATTGCTGCTCTCTGAATTTATTAGATCACATGATTATATCACTTCAATTTGGTAGTGTTGGATGATAGCATTGGGTATATTTTTCTGATAGAAAAATCTGTTTTCCTCTGTTTGGCTTGTAAGTTCATGAAGGTGCCATTGTTTTCCTCACCTGTAATTGCATATTCTTTGTATGCTTTTTGACTTCTGTGCTTTTTGGGCTTCCACTTTTCCTGCAGTTGGATGGAGAAGCAGCCTGGTTCGTGCATTACCATGGGTGACCACTGCTTTCCTGTACTTCCCTAGTACTGAAGCCACCAGGATTCAGTGATGGAGGCTTTGCTGGAAGGAATGCAAAGAAATGGGCAGGGGAGGTATGTATGCAACTGTACACAGCAGTCATTCCAAATGATTTAAGTGTTAACCTTGCCTCTTATTCAGAATAAATCCTCTGGTGTAAGTGTGCAGTGGCCCTCAGCTGCTGCAGAAGCGAAGTCACTGGGGGAGCTGGCTCTGTGCTAATCCCTGCTTATAGGCTTAATTGTCAGAAATTTAGTTGTACATCTTCCTGAAACCTCAGCCTCTTTTTCTCAGTTGTTGTTGTAAACTATTCTTACTGTCCAACATCAGGAACAGTAGTAAATAGAGTTGTGAATAAATATTTATTTTGTAACAGCCTCGCAAGGTTAATGAGATGTGACTTTGTTATCTGATTTCACTGAAAACATCTGATTATTTCCTGCTTGTGTTGAAACTGCAGAGTCCCACTCAGCTCTGAGTGAATCCTTAATGTTGTGTCTGAGGTGAGAATCTCTAGACTTTTTGATCCCTGAGAGAGACTGTACTGACAATAACAGAACAAAATGCTTTATGTGTTAAACAACCGTGAAACAAAAGTCACTGATGCCATTTTCCTAGTCATCCTTGAGAATGTGACACAAATTTATTTGATACTGTATCTTCTTTAGAGAGCTGGTTGCAGAAATCAAGTTTAGAATTTGCTACATATTAGCAGATGCTGTGAAGGGAATGTTCCTGCTCTGCATAATAGCTGCTAATTTTTGGTTAACTCATAGGACAGGGTGAACTTCAAATGTGACTGATTTTGGCTCCTTTAAGAAGTATTTCTTTTCCTATAGAAAAAGTGCCAAGTAATGAAGTGTGCATAGGCCCTGGGGGAACAGAGAAATTTCTATCCCTTAACCTATCGATTTCCATTTCTTTTCAGTTCTTCCCTTTGACAGGCAAATTAAAGGGGTAGAGATCATTATGGAATTCACCACCCTCTAGGGCTGTGTCTGGCAAACCTTAATATTGTCCCTGTCTTGGCAGCTGGGAACTTTTAGAGGAGTTACTTGAAGTGGCTTCAATAATTATGCACCAAATTAGAAATCTGGGCATCGCTAGGGAGCTTGTGCTCCCCGATGGATTGCGAGGGTTTGATCCTTCATTATCATGTTGTCATCCAGGCCCCTCTGCTTCAGAGTTTGTCTGCATTTGTGATAAACTTCTGGTTTTGGGAGCTCATAGCTTGGCTGTGATTCCTCTGGTGACTGAAACCTGCTATAAAATGCCACTGCCTGGAGAGCAGTTAAGGCAATACAAAATATGAATTAAACACGCTTTGGTTTACTTACATAATGCACAGTACCCAAGGCAAAAGGCTGAATGCCTAAGTGTGAAGTGATGTGGTTTAGCACATGGGCATGGATGGTATTGGGTAAAAGGTTGGACTTGATGATCTTGGAGGTCTTTTCTGACCTTAATGATTCTGTGATTCTATTGTGTGCAAGCTGATTTAAAGAGAGGTCAAAGCACTCACTGTGTGTGCAGGGTTGGTGCCTTGTGCCAGTCAGTGTGTTTGCTGCCTTCATTGGTTTGGGACCCTGGACGTGGTGGGTGGCACGTGCTTTATTTAACTCCAGGCTCTCTCCCCTCCAGCGGTGGGTTCTTGACCTCCTGTGCGGCCGAGCTGCAGGAGCTGATGAAGCAGATAGACATCATGGTGGCTCACAAGAAATCTGAATGGGAAGGGCAGACACAGGCTTTGGAAGCTTGTCTGAGTGCTCGGGAGCAGGAACTTTCCTCTGCCAAGGCAGCTCTGCAGGAAAAACAAAAGGAGGTACCTTTGTTTCATACTATTTTTTGGTTGGAGTCAGCAGTGTGTTTTACCTGTTAGAATCAGGAGATCAGGAATAGAATTTTTAAAGGACCTGTTGGAACAAAGTGTCTGGTTAATAGCTCAATCCAAGTCAAGTAATCTGCTCCTCTAGGGTTGGTGGAAGTCCACATATTGAACTGTTAGAGTTATTAGAGATAACCCAGAACTGGTTCTGGCTACAGTGGTAATGGACAGCCCAGCAACCTGCAGTCATTGGTACAAAAAACCCATTTCCTACTACATAATCTGCACCAAGAAAGCCGTTTCCTATTATGAACTATACCAAGATATGGCTGGGTAACTCTCCATGGGCTTTTTTACAGAGCTCTGGTTTTGTGGTCTTTAAATAAAAGCCTGAGAGAAGTGCAAAAAAAATCTGTATTGGTGGAAAATTATTGGTAAGTGAAGTTTTTGTGCAGGATGTGGACCATAAAATGCAGTTGAGCCACAGGATTTTTTTTGCAAGAATGACGATTTTTGTCATATAGGTTATTGTTATTATTATCAATTGTGTTTTCTCAAGACACTTGAAATGTCTGTTACCACCAAAAGCAAACATGGATTTCAAACCAAACTGTAAAGTGTGTTTGAAGTCACTGTTGGAGTATATTCTTGTTTTTGGTTTAGTCATAGGAATTTTCTGTGGGTTTTCTTTTAATTTTAATTTGTTGGCTTGTGACCACTCAGGTTGTGGATTGGAAAAAGGAGGAAAAAAAAAAGGAAGAAAAATTTGTCACAGGAACAGTTGATTCACTGTCAGGGAAGTCTTTTCTGTGAGCTTCAAAATCTCTTTTCTTACTTTTTCCATGGCCAACTTTTCTATTGGTAGATAGCTTGAAATCATAATGCATATTTGTGAAGAATTTGATAAAAATACTGGATGTATACTGAAATAGGCTTTTGGCACAAAACAAATATGTCAGCTTTGTCTCCAGGAGTGAAATCCAGAAACTGGCTCAAAACAAGAGACCACAACAGAAACAGTTGTGGCCCCAGCCTGCCAAAGATTTAGGCACAGCCTCCATCTATTTCAAAATGAAGGACCCCACTGAAATGTCCATGTATCTACTGGCAATAAAGCCTACTTCTGTTGTATTTATTTGTTTTTTATCCCTCTGTTCAGGTTGGCCTGCTGCGTCGCCAGGTCGAAGATGTGGAAAAATCCAAGCAGGACATGGTTAGAGAGTATGAGCAACAGCTGAAGAAATTCCAGGAGGAGGTGAGTTGCAAAAAGAGAAGTTTGGTTTCTAGTTCCCAGTTGATGATGGATCAGTTACTTTGTGTCATTGTTTTTGTTTCAGTGCTGTGGTTTTAAAACTGCCCACTCTGTTAGTGTTTGTGTGCTTAGCAAAAAGAGCACTGAGCATAGATAAAGTGACATTTGTATGGCTCAGCTGGCCTGTTTTTTTGTCATTTGGAGGAACTTGGTGACAGAAAACTATTGGAGTAGGAATGTTTTCATATGTTGGACATCTGCAGAAGTTCACTGCAAGAAGTCCTGTCTTTGCCCATCCCAGTCACCACAGTGCTGGTTCTGGAGCTGCCACAGGTACAGGCAGCAGCAGTTTCCTCTTTCAGCTTTTCTGAAATTCAGAAAGGGTGGTGATGTAACTGGCCTGGCTTGTGTGAGATCAGGAAATCAAAGTGATATGTGGTCTCATCTTTTTGTCTCTGTTAACACTGATGACTGTAGTAGGGATTTTGGACTCTCAAGGAATATTAGTCTTAATACCTTTTATAAAAAACAAGTGTATGTAGAAAATGCTGTTTGACAATAATATTGGAGCTTCCATCTCAACACCTCTTGCTCAGTGCAAGATGATACCTGTCCTGCAGGTGGTATAACAGCATTCCAGATTTATGCCTGAACTCCTTGCCTGTCTGCACTTGCCAAGAGCAGGGAGTGAACTGGCATGAGCAGCTCATAGAGCACTGACCTGTTTTCTCTGGAGGGCTGGGCCTAGTTCCTGCTCACTGTAAGCCATAAGTGAAATTAATTTGGTAGTCTCTGCTCTGATGACAGAAGGCATCTTTTCTCATTTAAAAACACCTCACTATTCCATATGACTAACAGTCTTCATTCACTGGGTGTTCTCCCTGGAATTGTGGATAAGCTGCAGAGCAAAGCTGAGGTACATTGGCAGATCAGCCTAAATTGCTAAGGCTGAAATACAGCCTTTGTGTTGTGGCCTAAATTGCAGTTTGTGGGTATTTTACCTACACAATATTAATGCTGATGGCATTGAGCTCCAATATTCCTCAGTCTTCTGTTCTTAGTACTGTTTGGGGAAATTATTTCTGTCCCTGTTTACCACCATTTCCAGTGCAATTACAGGTACAGTGTCTAACTGAGACTGTTGAAAGAATAAACCTCTTATCTCCTGATATGTTTGGCAAAAGATGTCAGTATTATCTCTAAGTCTGAACAACTGTCTGTTCCCACTGAACACACCGAAGTACTGAATACATCAGGTCTCGAATCAGATACTTTTTCTTCTCATGGTCCTTCTGTCCTGCTTAGCTTTGTCCCTCAGTAAAACAGAAGTGATGGCTTCTCAAATTCATGTGGCTATTTGGAAGCCTTTTATTTAAGTAGGGGGGAGCTCATCATATGAAAAATTATCTGCAAGTTGCAAGTGATTATTTGCATGGAGGGTCATTTAAATGTCAAGAGTTTTTTCCTCATTCCTGCTTCTGATACAACTTCAGCATCCTAGCAGCAGGCATAGGAGTGATATTTTCTGTTGGCTTTCTCCACTCATTGTGAAATAAACAGTGTATCTAAGCAGAAAATGACAAATGAAGTGGTGTTGATATTATGGGTAGTGGCAATTCTCAAACCTTCCTTCTCCCACTAAGCAGGAGAGTTCCAGTTCCCACCTGAGCTGCACAAATGTATTTTGATCACACAAGATTTACCCGTGTGTGGTGTGGTGGGTGTGCTCCTGTGGGTGAGCAGATCAGCCACAGGCGCTGCTGGCTCTTCCTGGGGCTGGGAACCACCTGTAGAGAGGGGGATGCTGTGCTCTTGCTGCATTGACAGCTGCCTGTAAGCCTCCATCTGATCAATATTTCAGTCATGCTTTAATTATGGTAAGACAGAGCTTTAGTTAAAGTTGCTGATGTCTTGAGTTCAGTGGCATCTTGCTACTCTCATACAACTCGTGTGTTTTGCTGTGCTGTTGGTATAAAAGACTCATTATCCAAATGGAAGCCTTCACTTGGGAGCTGTGTGGCCTTGATGAGGGCATTGTTTGTGTGAACCACTTTGTGTGTCTTCTTTCAGAGGGCTGTTTAATTCTTGTCTTGGGACCTTGAGCAAAGCTCTCTCTTTGACACTCTTTGTGCAGTTGTCCCGGCTGAGGAGGAGCTATGAGAAGCTGCAGAAGAAAAAAACAAGAAGCAGAGGAGAAGCTAACAAGGGACATGAGGAGGACAAGTTCGAATTGAGCCGACTGACCAGGAAGCTGGAGGTATGTGGAGAAAAAGCAAGTGCTGACCAGCTTGTATGTATTAACTGCCTTACTGGGCTTCATTGGTGACTGAACAGTCCACTAGGAAGTGGACATTGAGTTCTGCTTAAGGAGCACTGTCCATCCACTCTCCAGGTGCAGCTCTTCTCAACTGCATGTGTGATAAAGGCAGTTTCATGTGCTGGGGCCTCTGACTGCACAGCATAAACTTAATGCTGGTTTTACCCTTAGACTAAATAAGAGGGAGAAGGTGCTGGAAGGGTAACTAATTGTGTGAATGGAATGAATTCCAGTGTAGGGAGGTTGTATTCTCACTTCTTGGAGGAGGAGGGAGCTACATGTCAAACTTCTTTGTAACCCTGTTTCATCTTCTAATCTTTCTGCTCTGTTGAGCTCAACCCCACTCAGTTTTCTCCTCCTGAGAGATGTGGTAACAACACATATCTGACTGATGTAGTGCCCAATTTCTGGAACAGAGATTAGCAGTCAAATTCTGTATGTAATTCTTGTCATGTTGATGGTTTCAATACCAGCATGCTTTGGAAGCTAAAGCCAGTCTGAATTGTTAAACTCCTGACAGCAAACCCATGAAATCAGCCATCATGTTGGCACTTAACATTTGTGAGCAGCTTTACCTCGGGTGGGGAAGGAATGCAGCGTGCACGGTGTGTGAGGCCTCTGCACTGCTGAGCTGCTGCATCAGGTGACTGGCTAATGGTTTCCCTGCTGGGGGAAAGGTGTGAGGATATGGTGGGGAGAGAAGGCAAATGTGGATGTGAACTGGAGGGGGATGTACTGCTCCAAGCCACCCCTGCTGTCCTTGCAGGAGTTCCGTCAAAAATCACTTGACTGGGAGAAGCAGCGCCTGCAGTACCAGCAGCAGGTGGCATCGCTGGAGGCGCAGCGCAAGGCTCTGGCAGAGCACTCCGAGCTTGTGCAGGTACAATTAGCATGTGCTGGAAGTTTCTGCTTTCTGTTTGTGGGAGGGAGGGAGGGAGGGAGAGGTTAATGAAATCTCTCAGGCACCCATCCAGTTCAGATTGCCATTGAAGTGACTTTTAATGTTCTGGTGGAATATGTGGAATATGGTTTGCTTGTACGAGTGCTGTATGGAAAAAATCTGGAGTCTGTCATCAGAGATTAGATAAACCTTGTGCAGGTCTCCCTGCCATTGCTCTGGTTAGCAGAGAAGAGAGTAGGATGCAGATTTCCCTGGGAGGCAGAGATCACAGCATATGACACGTTAAAGTATGTTACATCCTGTTGTCTGGTTGAAAGCTGTGTACCTGCCAGCAGCTAAATAAGTACTTTGTGGGTCCAGCTCAGAGGGTACTGTTGGAAAACAGTCTTCCCCTATATCAGAGACTTACATAAAATACTGAAGCAACGGCAGTTTTCCCCCCGCACCTTTTTTCAGGTCTCTCAGAGGCAAGTAGTGGGGCTGCTGTTCTGCAAAGCTGATAGCTCAGTGAATTAGTGGTGCTGCAGCAGAGCAAGATGAATTGACCTAGAGCACAGCTGTGAAGTCACACAGACGCAATCACAGCAGACACTGATAAGAAGCTCTTGCTGGGGACTTTGCCTTAATGGGCTCCTGAGTTGCTCTTGAGTGGAAGCTCCTGCAAGGAGGGAGACTGTGATGACAGGATTGAAGCTGGCTCTGACAGGGGCTTTGTGAGAGGCTGACACCAGGAGATCTACAAATGCAGAGAGAGTCCTTGAGCAGAAGGTCTTGCTGCTCTGCTGTCTGTGTGTCGTTGATAGCTCAATTGTTTGGGAACAGATGTGTCCTTGGAGCTCAGGCTGGGACATTGGGGCACAGAGGAACTTGTCTTACTGTGCAGTAGAAAACCAGGAGCTTGGAGAGGTTTTGCCAAAGTGGCATAGCTGCCTTAGGTGCACAGGTACTGTGAACAGACTGCCTGAGTCCTCAATTGCTTTGAAAAGCCCAGCATGGAAGTGCTAATTTTTTTGCCTTGCATTTTTCTGTACATTTTATGTGCTTAGTTGTCTTTCTAGCACAAGGTCAAGCTGAGATCCATGACCATGGAGTACTTCTCCTCTCTCTCCTTTTCATCTGGCTTCCCCTCAGCTCTTCCAGAGCAGCTTAGGGAAGCCTGGAATTCCTCCCCAGTACAGGCCACCTTCTGGAAACCTTTAAAGTCAGCCTTGCCCAGAAACCTGGAATTCTCTGCTGGCATGGATGTTGTGTGGCTGGAAATAAGACACAGCTTAAATGTTTTCTTAATGCAGAAATAAATGTTAAGGCAGTCTGATACTCTGGCTTCTTGAGTGAAGAAAGGCACTGCTTTAAACTCTCAGCCTTCTTGATTACCTTTTCTGTCATGACTATTTAAATAATAATAAAAGGCTGTAATCAAATCTATACCATAGCCTTGGAAATGAGCAGTTCTTACAGTTTGTGTAAATCAAGGCATGTGATGATTGTGAAGCTGGCAGGCATTGCTACTCTTTGAAACTGGGAGTATAGGACTGCTCAAATATTTTGTTTCAGCCTTTAAAAATTCAAAGATTTTATACAATAAGGGAGTATATGAAGTGAATGTTCCTAGAAGTTTATGTGAGAGCTGGCTTGTTAAATTTCACCAGCTAGCTGTGTGGAAAGAAATGCTATGAAATAAAGTATTGTGCCTATAAATTATAGATCAGGTATTGTCTGCTACTCGTATGTTCCTTGTAACTTTTTTGTCTGCCATTAAAACACTGAAAAATTCAAAGTGAGCATTCCCCCAGGCTGCTGGAACCAGGTATTTACTGCAGACAGCAAAGCAAATTGGCTGTTAGAACTGCTTTGTTTTGGTGCTGTTTGGTGGTTGTGGTTTTGCAGTTGAGCACCCAGAGCTGCTGTCTGTCCTGGTGTGGAATTAATTGTTGGGTAATCTCTGCCCTGTTTGATTTGCAAACTTTCGTACCTGCAGCCATTAGTCCTGGCCTAGCTTTGGGCTCATGAGCGAAAAATAGCAGGAGGTTTTGTTCTTGGACAAATCATACTCAGGCAGCTGGAGTGATTTGAGATTCTCATTTTCCAGATTCTCTTTGAACTGCTTTTGGAATCAAAGGACCTCCTCTTTTTTCATTTTGTTTTTCACTTATTCTGTTTGCCTCGGGAAGTTTTATCCATCATGTAACCCTGGAACAGTACTCTCCCTAATTCCTTGGAAGGTATTGTTGAGAATGAGAATGTGGCTCATCACACCAAGAAATCAGTAGTTGTGTTGAGTTTAGCTTTGGTGTTTTTTGCAGTTTAGCTCTAATGCAGGTGTTGCTGTTGCAGACCCAGCTGGCCAATCGGAAGCAGATCCTGGATTCGGTGGAGCTGGCGAGCCGCTCAGAAATCCAGCACTTAACCAGCAGGCTGGAGAGGGCCAAGGACACCATCTGTGCCAACGAGCTGGAGGTGGAGAGGCTCAGCATGAGGGTGGATGACCTGAGTGAGGACAATCGCATGATTCTGGAAGATCAGCAGAGAGTTCAAGAAGAATTACGGCAGTCCAAGAAAATGTTAGAGGTCAGTGGAGGAACGTGTAAGAAACAGGGTCTAAAGAAGTGGCGGGAAGGCTTTCCATCCTGGAGTTTTTGTCTCTTTCTAGAGCCTTTGTAAAGTTCCTGATTGGCATCAAAATTGACTTTGTAGCCCCATGTGCTGCTCTACACATTTTTTTAGGACAGTGGTCCTAAAAAAATCTGATCAACCTCTCATCACGTTGCAACAAACAGGTTTGGTCCATCTTGCAGCAGTCATTCAGTCATTACTTCTGCCTCCTGTGCAGGTGCTGCAGGATGAGAAGATGGAACTGAAAGCCACCTTGCAGTCTCAAGAAGATTTCATTGACAGCTCAAAGCTGCACCAGGAACAGTTACAGAAAGAGCTAAACCGGATGACTGAAACTCTTCACAGAAAAGAACTCCTCATCAGGTAGTATCTGTGCCTTGCTGGTGCTTTGGGTCTTCAATCCAGATCTATGCTCCAGATTCTCTCACTGAGGACAGTAGCAGCATTTTCATGCAGCTGGATCTGTACTGGTTGTATTTCACATAGTGCACTGCAGTTTCTCACAAGCACTGTGCTGCCTTACAGCATTTTTCAATTTGCATTGCTTTTGAAATTAGCAGATAATCAGTGAAGAGCAAGGAAGGAATCCACTTTCCTCAGCTGGGTTTCTGGAGGCAATGCAGGTCTTTTGAGGGTGTTTCTTGCAGGCATTTTCAGCCAAGTGCTGGAGACCTTTCAGGGTTTGATAATGTGCTTATTAACCTAGGTGAAAGTTCTCACTGGTTCGGGCTTGGCAAGGTAACTACATCTGTGACAAAGCCATATTGGCCTTTCCCTTCTCCCCTGGCAGTGTGCAGAGGCTGTTGGGTTCTGGTGGCTGTGTCAGAAGGTTTGGGTGTTGGTCACCTACCAGTCTCTGGCAGGGGGACCAACGTCAAAATAAAATGTAGTCTGCTTACTCACACTGCACACAGTGGTAACTTGCTTTTAGGTGATGTGTATTTTTCAGAGAACTCCAAGAAAACAATAGTTATGTTCCCTGTACCAGTGAACTCAGACATGATGTTTCTGTGCTGAGATTAAATCTGCTGTTTCTGTGTAGGGCCTTGGAGGAGCGCTTGCAAGGGAAGGCATTGTCCTCTGCAGGGCTGGAGCTGGAGCAGGTGCTGCTGCAGCTGGATGTTGCCCAGAAGAAGGAACAGCACTTGCAGTCAGAGGTGAATCGTCTTGAGAACAGGTAGCCCACTGCTTGCTCCCTCTGCAAGTGCAATTAGTCTTGGATAATAATACAGCACCTAATTGTGTTCATCAAGTTAACCAGTGATTTTTGTAGGCTTGTTTTAAATATCAAAGGGCCAAAGAAAGCAAGTGCTATTCCTTGTGCAGTGTAATAGTGACTGCTCTGGTAATTGGTTGGCTGCATTTCACTGCACACAGTGGGTGTTCTCAGTGTTCCAGCTTGCTTAGGCTGAGCACCTTCACTCATAATAGCCTAAGGAGTCTTTGTTAGGCAGCTGGTTAGAACCAGATCCAGACCTTCCTGTGAAGTGAGGATTATAAACAAATCTGTCCAGAGAGATTGTGGACTCCTCATTTCTAGAGGTGTTCAAGATAGATGGGCAACCTGGTCTAGTTGAAGGTGTCCCTGCCCACATCAGGGAGTGGAATGAGTTGAGCTTTAGGGTCCCCTCCCAAACCAAAGCATTTTGTTATTCTGTGATTCGTCTCCAAGTTTGTGGTTTTCAGACTTGTGTTTACATAGAAATTTTGTAATCTTAGTTTGTAAATAAACAAGCAAGAAACAGCTGTTATCTGTTAGATGAGCTTCCTGATCTCATGTGAAATGATTTTAGAAAACAAACCCAGAGAATTGGTAAGGAACTTGTAGGCTGAGTAGAGTTTCTGTTGTAATGGATGTAAAGGACTGCCTGGAAGATCAAAGTTTCTCTGACCATTTCCTCCTCCTTGGGTTATTCTAATCTATACTTTTGCATTTGGCACCCAGCCTGGTGACTTCAAATGCCAGGTGTGTGCAGCTGAGTGAGGAGCTGAGTGAGAATATCAAAGAGCTGCAGTCTCTGGAAGAAGACCAGACTGAGTCAAGGGCAGAGATTAAAAAGGTAACATGGCTTTGTTCCCGGGGAGTGGGATGGCATTGCTGGAGAGAACTGATCCCTGTGTGCCACGTGCCTCAGCAGTGGGACCAGGGCAGGGCTGCTGTGCAGGCAGGGATCTGCTGGAGGTAAGGAGCATACCTGGCAGAGGAAGGGTTGAGAGGACACCCTTTTGCAGGTGTCTGAACCTGGCTTTGTGAGCATCTCCTGGGCTTCCCCCAGTACTTCTGCACACTGTGGAGATAATTGAATTACTGCTAGGTGGGCAAATATGTGAAGAAATTAAGGTCTGGAATCCTGAGTTTAAGCCTAATAAAAGGCTCCCAACAGGATGAAGAGCAGAGAAGGAATGAGTTTGCTGTAATATGTCCTGTCGCACTTGAGGCAGGACTTCAAATATGTCCTGGTTCCTGTGTGAATAAGGGAGTGTGTTTCAGGCTTGGTAGGCTCTGAGCACCCAAGGAGGACAAGCCCTTCACTAGCTTGGCTCTTCATAATGGTCTGCATCAGCTCATGTGAGAGCTTTCACTGGAGCCTGGTAGAGTGGAAGCCTCATTGAACCTGAGTGAAAAACCTCACTTGTGTGGAAATCTTTCATCCTTTATTCTGAATATACAGAGGTACAGATCTTGCCAGAGATGTGTGCTTGGTTACACATCTAAACAGCCACACAGTAAATTAATCTCCCACAGGCTGCTGGGGAGGAGGGAGAGATTTATGAAGGCTGTTTTCTGTTTTATATACTTGGGAGGCATTGAGGTGACATGGAGATAAATCACTGTGTGAACAGTATTTACATGGGTAGGCAGAGATCATCTGGTTCAATTTTCTAAAATGCTTGTAATTCTCAGAAAAATCCTGTATGTTTGGGTGGTTAATATTTCTGACTAATGGAATGGAGTCCTGGGGAAGGAATTATGCTGCTGTTTTCTGTTGTGCCACTGAGTAAATATACATAGTGCCTACTATATTGTATGTGGTGCAGGTCTGCCACCTCAAAAAGCATTGAATAAACCAAGATAAGGTATGGAAAAAGATGACCAAAAGGATGGAGTGATTTTTATACAGGCAGCAGCTGAATGGAATAGGGCTTAGCAAACTGGAAAAGAGATAAATGAGATTGAATGGACTGAAAATAAAATCATGCCTGTCATGTGGAAAGTAAATAGGGAATGATTATTCTCTCATAATGCAGGGACTAGTGGTCATCACACAGAGTTATGAAAACAGAGATGTATTTTTACCCTGTGCATAGCTGGCTGGTGGAAGTTTGCCATGGGAAGCTTTAGTTGCTACATGCTAACATTTGTTCAACTCTAATATTGATTCAAAAGACTTAGGGCAAATTAATTCCTGGAAGAAAAATCCAGCTTGAGCTATTTAAAGTTACCATCTTTAAATGGTATCTTCAACTGCCTCAGGAAGGCAGAGTGGCAAATGGCAGGGTTATATTTTCCAAGAGTTACTGTGCTTCCCCAGTCATGGTGACCCTTTGGCTCTCTGGCTTTGGCTACAGAGGTTGAATGATGAGCTGAAGAGGCTGTTGGTCTGATAAATAGTGGGTCTTCTCAAGTACCTCATGGCATGAAGCTTCTTTCCAGTTGGCAGTGTGTGGTGTGGGAAAGGATTGGGATGAGGTGGTTTCAATCAGGAAGGACAAGCATGTGCAGGGGGCTTGTTACATAGAACTTTTTTGTTTTCCAGGACTGAGATTTCACATTCCCGTGTGCAATACTTTTGCTTTTTTAGCTGAAACATGTTTTAAAAGCTTGTGGGTGATGTGTGCATGTCTTCCTCCAGTTGAAAGACCAGCTCTCTCAGGCTGAACAAATGCACAGCAGTGAGCTAGAAGGGATGAAAAGGGAGATCTCCAGGCTGACACAGGAGCTGAACCAGCGGGACATCACCATTGCATCGGCAAGCGGCTCCACCTCAGACCTGGAGCGGCAGCTCAGAGCAGAGATTGAAAGAGCAGAGAGGAAAGCAGTGGAGCACAGGGTAAAAAAGGCACAAGACTCTTATACTATCTGTTTAAGGGACCTGAAGGCTTGGAAAACCATCCTGGTTTTTAGCTACAATAGTAGTTTCCTTCTCTCTTTAACCTCTGTACAAAAACTGAGACCTTCTGAAGGAATCTTCTAACGATGGTGTTCACTGAATCTGTGTTGCTGCTTCTTTTCAAATCAGCAGTCTATAGTCCCACAGAATTCTTTGGGATCACTCATGCTAACTAGACCAGGATGAATAACATCTTTGATAACTGTTCCTGGTTATTTTTGTAGTCTTCTCTGTAGGGTCCCAGTGCAACTAGCAGCCCAAACCTACTTAATACTTGAGTTTGAATATGGAAAATGCTTGGAGGGTGTTGTGAGCATGCGTTGTGTTATTTTTCTGAGCTTGTTGGTTGCCTCTGTCTCCTCAGGTAATTCTGGTCCAGCTGGAAACCTTGAGGCTGGAAAACCGTCATCTCTCAGAGATTCTGGAAAAAAGAGAGTGTGGTAAGCTAAAGGTATGAAGGCATTCAGGACCAGGAGCTGGGAAGGGGCTAGCCTTGTGTTCCTACCTGGGAATAGTCAGAGTCTTTGCCCAGGCCTCTCAAAATGGGGGATAAAGCTCAGTGAACTTAAAGCCCAAGCAAAAGAAGCAATTTTAGAGGAGATAAAGTGCAGAAATATCAAGCATTTGTTCAGTCAGAAAGTGATGAAGAGAACTGCAGAAACAGCCATAATTTCCATGTCTTCTCCATGGGCTTTGGCCCACATTTTTTAGTACATTTCATTACACTTCCGTTTTAAGCCAGTTTACCTCAAACCTTTGATTCTCAACCTGTGATGTCCTTTTGACCTGTCCTTGAGCTGTAACTGCTCTGGCCCTTGAAATGCTTGGATGAGATCGTGTTCTCCCCTGGTGCTCTCCTTTCCTCTCCATGAGCAGGATGCAGACTGGGAATATATGGGCTGGATGTGGTGGGGCAGTGTTCTTGGAAAGGGCCCTGTGGTGGGCTCCTGAAGCTGAACAAAACCTCCAAAACTCTTGATGCAGAGGGGAAAAGAGGAGCCTGCATAGCAGAGAAGCAGCCTTGGCAGAAATAACAAGTTGACTCATTGTGTGAAGGAAGAAGTGGCTGGTTTGCAAGTTCTGTCTCAACTTAAGCAGAATGGCTGCTTCCCAGGGGACAAGGGTTGGATTCAGACACTGAGAATCCCATGAGAGTATGTTTTATCCTGTTAGATCTGTGCGAAGGAAATACTCAGCTCTTAGTATTAGTTTAGGGTGATTGTCTAATGTGCCAAGTTCCTGGGAAAGTGCTGAACAGAAGCTTATGGCTGGTGAGCTGGATTAAAAACACAGCTTTTTGGAGGGCTGATTTGAAACTAAAATAACTTAAAATAACCAAACTTTCTGTTTGAAAAGTGCCTGGTGGCTTTTGCCTGTGTGAGTTCCCAAAAATGTGGTAGCAGTGTGCAAAGCAGGAAAACTTCCTTAAAAAAAGCCCCACAGCCCCAAGGAACAGGAGCTCTATCTTGGCCTGGTGGTCCTGGTGCACATTTGGAAAGACCTTAGATACAAAGCTCATGAGAATGAATTAAGCATCTAAGTTTAATAGAATTGGCAAAAAGCAAGTGGGAATGTCACAGGAGTGGCCACCTGGCCTAGTAAAAAGAAGATGATAGGAAGGAGCAAGTTATTCATAGTTTCAGAAAGGCCAGAGGCAGGTACATCTGAACTATCTAAGGTCCATGTTTTCTTGTTTTAAAATTAATCCAGTGGTGAGAGAGACTGACCTTCCCAGGCAGATCAGCTGATTAGCACATTGAATCTGGATGCTGGTCCAATAAGGCATTTATATAATTAATTTTCTCCTAGGAAAATCTTGAGGGTTTTTCCAGTCAAAATGAGTTAGGGGGTATGCTTTAAATAATCTCTTGCTGGCCTTTGCTCCGGATGTGTCTGTGGTGTCTTGCAAACCAGAACTTCTGGCTTCTGCCCTTCTTTGTCTGTTAGGGGGACGATGGCACCCTGAGAGCACTCAGGGAGGACTACGCTGCTGAGCTGCAGAAATTAATATCTGAGAACCAGCAGCTGCGGACGGACCTGGCAGAGACCAGGGCGAAGCTGGGGGTCACTGCACAGGAGTGCCCGGATGGACCTGAGGGCATGGCTCAGCAGGGGCAAGGCAAAGAGCCCAGGGAGGCACAGCACAGGTGAGTGACCCAGGGGTGCTGCTTCCTCAGGGTGAAGGAGGGCACAAGGTGTGGGGATGTGTTGGGTTTAATGGCATGCTGGGTCTCTCTCCAGTGCAGTGTGTGTCTAGGAGAAGACAAGGACTGTTTGGGAATCTGCCTTTATGCCTTAAGCAGTGCAGTAGCTTTGAGTCCCAGCTGGTTTGTGTTTTGCAAAGCCAGCAGTGTTTGTCTTTTGTCTGCCTTTGCCTCTCTCTGGAGCAGCAGTCTGTGCTGTTTTTGGTGACAGGATTAGATGTGGCCCAGGCAGCTGTGTTCCTTTCTGTTGCTGTGCTAAGATATGCAGGCTGTGGTTTTTGGTATCTACAGTAGCAGGAGAGAGAATTCCACAGGGATTGAATGTGTGTCTGAAAGTGCTATGGAAACAAGTTTGGGTTGCCAGGGCTGTTAGTAACATCTATGTTAATTGTTGCCTCTGTGTGAGTTTTGCTGTAAGAGACAAACCCAGTTCTGTGCTCAAACCTGTCTTCCAGGACAGCTCAGGAAGCACAGCACGAGGAGGATGAACACACAGGGAGGACGCATCTCCAGCTTGACAGGACTGCTCAGCATCATCACAGGGACCCTCTAAGGTGTGGGGCTGCTGAAACAGGAACAGCACCTGAGATGGGTGAGCCACCCTCCCAGAGCAGCAGCAAAAACTGCAAGGAATCACGTGCCTGGCTGGGAGCAGAGTCTGTGCTTCATGTGGTGGATGAAAACAAAGATTTTGCAGATGAAGCATCTAAGCAGCCTGCCTTAAATCATCACAGAGAATCTGTTTTTTTGGTAAGCAGTTGTACAGGGGCTACTTGCTGCTCAACAGCTGAAAATAGAGTTGGGTTCTTATCTGGCAAAAGGAGACAGGCATTTGAGTGCCTGACTTAACTGCATGTTGTGTGTGATCCTCTAAGTAAATCAAATGTTAAACAGGAAAAGAAAGCCACTGTTGGATGGTTAAGACTTGGCCAGGAGGATCCATATGTTGGATCTTCAGAACTCCTTGGAGAAGAGCTTTGTGTTTGTGTGCTTGCTAAGTTAATTCCAGGAGCTCATGGTGCTGTACCTCAGTGTGTACCAGGACCTCCTCATGTCCCCTCAGAATTCTGCTTCAGCTTTTGCCTTGGGTCTGTAGTAGAGGCTCAGAGTGAATGTGGAGTGCTGAGTATGTCAGTATTTCAGTCTCTGAGTGACTGGTTGCTGCACATCTGTAAAGCACAGGGTGAGTTTTACCCCTTTTCAAACAGGCTGCAGCAGTCAGCACACTGAACTTAAAGCTGCTTATGCTTGCTGATGACAAAGCCTGAAATCCCTGCTTCACTGCACAAGGGGAGCCTGCTCCTTTTCCCGGTTGCTGATCGTACTTTTTTCACTGGGAGCAGTGTTAGCACTTTCTCTGTCCTACCTCAGCTCAGTTGCTGAAGGACTTGACCAAGAGACAGAAATTTCCACTGAATCACCTTTTCTTGTCATGTTTAGGGAGGGGAGAATGCTGAGCACTGGTCCTTGCTCCACATGTGTTGCCCCAGCAGTGCTCAGAGCAGTTTCTCCTCTGTTTTTGCATTGGTACCAGTGACAACTATTAAACTATTAGCTATCTTTTTGTAGGAGTCCAGAGAAGAGGCTCAAAGGCTAATGCACAGATAAGTGGAGGCTTGTCAGGTCTTGATGAAGTTTACTACCAAGATTAGGTCTTGATTTTTTAGGAGTAAAGTAGCTTGTGCACATATCCAGAAAACAGTGTTGGGACCTTAGGGAAGTGCAGTATTGTAAATGGAAACTCTTCAGGTTGCAAGATTGGACCCAAAGTGTGAAAGTTCCACTTCAGAGTCTGAGAAGCTCTAGGGCTTGATGTTTAATAGGAGACAATGGGCTGCTTTTTATTCTGAGAGATAGAAATAAGATTTCTAAGGAAATGCAGTTATTTCTCCTGGTGTTGACTGGGTCTCCCTGTTCATGGTCAGGCTCCAGTGTCTTTAAATCAATTCCTTTAGCACTAAGAGAGGAGAACTCTCATCAGTAGGCTGTCAATAGTGGGGTGGGAGAGATTTGTTTGCTGTCTGTAGCCTTTTCTGTTTCCCTTTGTTCCTGGCTGTTGACAAGATCTGAAAACCACGAGACTCCAAGATTTGGAAATAACCAGTTATTTTCTGTTGCCAAGACACTGAGACAACTTGTCTGCAATGGAAAGCAGCCCCTTAGTAACCTTAATTTTTCACGTGCCGGCCGGCCCCTGTGCACAAGGCTTCTCTTCATCAACTTGTATATTAAACCTGGTTTACAGTGTTGTTTTTGTAAGTTAATAACTTGTGGGTAACTGATGTGAGGAGCAGGAATAGTTGTTGACTGTAAAGGAAAGAATCTGGAGTAGTTTGTTGACCATTGCTGGCTGGACTGAAGAGCTGGCTGTTCTGTGAGCTGCAATGGGACTTTGGCCTGTCCTTGCCTGTGGGATTGTATCAGGAGCCTGTTACTTTGGGGAAAGAAGAGGAGGTATATGAAAGAAAGCAGAGATATTTCCAGTGTGGAATTATGTGGTAAAAAAAAACCAGTCTGGCAGTGCTTTCCCTTCCCTGGACCCAAACTCTGAGGTGCTCCCACTCACAGGGATTTTTATGGAGACAAGGAGCAGGATGTAGACCTTGAGTTGAACCAACACCCAGGGCAAACTCCTTGGTATTCTGTAGTGACCTTCTCTAGCCCTGATTTTTTTGTAGTGATTTTTTGGCAACGTTAGCTTCATGCAGCAGTCATTGCTGGCTGTTGGGAGGGACATGATCTGCAATACAAGTATGAGACCTGAGTGCTTAGTCTGCCCACTAAGACGGAAATGAGCCCTCAAGGAGCTTGTTCAGTGGTGTGGTTTGCAGATCAGTGGTGTTTCTGGCCAAAACTTGGAATGAAGGAATGCCTGATAATCCTTTTGTTTCCCTTTAGTGCCCCTTGCCTACAGCTCCTGTTGGATCCATTGCTGCACGATACCTGGAAGATGAAGAAATGAGATCCCAGCACATCCTGGAGTGCCTAAATGCTCACATTGAGGAACTGAAAAAAGAGAGTGCAAAGATAGTGAGACGATTTGAACACCAGGAATAATGTTTGTTGTAGAATTGGAATGCTGGTTTCCTTATGTGCTTCCGAACTGTGACTGGAAAGGTGCCTATATCCAGCTGGGATTGGAGCTTGAGTGAGATCCATGTGTCCTACTTGGAGCTGAATCAGCAGGATGGGAGTTGAGGAAAAGGAGCCTCTGTCTACATGCTTGCTCTGATGAGGGGTGTTACACCACAAACACTTTAGTCAGCTTGCCATAGGTCAGAGACCTGCATCAGAGCTATGTGCTCACTCACAAAGTTGATGGTGTTTTTTAAAAGCAAACCATTTGCTAATTTTTATGTAAAGTATTTAAAGTATGTTTTATACGTGTAAAAGCATTGAAATAAATCAAAATAGCAAACACCTCTTTTCTTGTTTATACAAATACACAAAGTGACTCTTGTGGTTTATATTCCCTTCTCATCAGGAACTTGGATCAACACCTTTTCCATCACAGCATAGCTATGTTCTTCAAAGAATAGGCAATAAAATTCCTCTTTCCTTTAGGCTATCTGCATTTTTTCCAGTTGTTTGCCCTTAGTGGAATTTCTTAATATTTCCTGGTTCTTGTAGCTTCTGCCCTTTACAATTTGTGTAGTATTTGGTGTCTTTGTCTTCTGTACAGAGTGCTTGAAGTACTGCAGAATAGCTGAGGAATTGAGTGTCTGAATTCTGGATGTGGTCATGGCTCTTGGAAAAGAGTGGAACTGCTGCATCAAAATAGATCTGTGACCTCCTTTGGGGAAAATATTCAGACTTCCCTCAAGGGAGGTAAGTTGTTAGTGAGTGAACAGGATTTATTTCCTAGGGACTTGTTTTGTTTTGGGGTCTCTGCAGTTCTTCCGTGGTTGAGTCTTTATGGCCTTTGTTCAGGCAGACCTTGGGATGAGGACGTTCCATGTCCATAAGTTTCTATTCCTTTCCATCAGCTTCACCTTGTGTTAGAGCAGCTTAATGCTGACAAGGAACAGGAATTCAAAAGCACCACATGTACACAGAGCCCAACCATTGTGTCAGGTGAGTTCAGCCAAGGAGGTGCCTGGCTGCAGACTGGGGCTGCACTTGGGCATGCACCTCTGTATCCCAGAGTTTAGAAATGTTCCAATTGAAAAGTCCTTGTGTTTTGGCTTTCTTCTGGGGTTCCTTGCATGAGGGTAAAACCTTCAAATCCATTCTGGATTCTTGTCATGCAGCCTTTGTAATGAGGTGCTGAACTGCCCTCAGCTGGAGCTGCACTGTGGTCATCCAGCACTGGCCTTGGATCCTCTACAGAGCTGTCCAAGGGTGTTTTGGAACATCCACCCTGTCTGTCCAGATCTCAAGTAAGGACTTTTTGGGCATGGGGCATTTTGATAAAATCTGAACAGCAGAATACACCAAACTGCTTTCCCTTTGCAGGTGCACCTATAGATGCACTGAGTGCCAGAACCCTTAGGGATCCCTCACAGCCTTCAGTGAGGCCACCAATTTCATTTTTTAAGTGATACCTTGTAAATAGTATTGTATTTCATGAAGATTTTAGTTACTGAGTGTTGCATCATGCTGTTGGTGTTTTCAGCAGTTCAGGAGAGAGTTTGCCTTGTTTCTGATGTGCTCTTCCATATCCCTTCAGGGATATTTGGCAGTTAGTGTTGGCAGAAGGGAAGAGCAAGACTGAAGATGATCCATTTGCTTAATTAGCAGCTATAATCCTACAGTTTTTTCAATTTCTAATACCTGTAATATGCAGCTTCATTCAGGGACTAGACTAAAAATTTGAACTAATGTAATCTAAAGTATCTGCAGCAGGGGAACTCCTGAGTTCCTTCTCTGTGTTGGTGTGTGTGTACTTTGTCTCTCCCTCTTTCTCTCATTGCAGATGCCCCAAGAGAACTGAGAATTCTGTTCCAGAGCTGTTCTCCTGGTGTTGGAACCTTGGCTGCACTGGAAAATGTGCATTTTTTATGAGGAGGAGAAGGAGCTGTGTTTATCCTGGAGGGAGATATCACAGCAAGTGCAGACTTCTGAGGTGCTTTTATCTGGGGCTGCAGGGTTTCTCAGGCATTCTCTGCCTTTGCAGTGTCAAACCTCCCTTGGAATAATCACCTGGCCCTGGAAACTTTATTATTAATGAAGCTGAAGTGGGGGTTTGTGCCTTTGAACTTGTGCCTTTAATAGCACTTAAGAATTTCTTGCACACTTGCATGGCAGAGCCAATGTTTTTTCTGATTGAGACAAAAGTGTGGAACTTTTATTTGCAGCACTTCCTTTTGTACATCTGTAGAGTGGGAAGCTGTGCAGGCTTCATCTGTCTTTACTGTGTTACAAATGTTCTGTTGTGGGTGTGACAGTGCTTGGGGGTCACTCCTTACTTTGATGGGTTAAAGAATCTGGGACTCTGTAGGTGTGTGGAATTGCAAATGCTTGGGTTTTGCGGAGTTGGGTTGTAGGAACAGGGAATACTCCCCGAGGTTGTGCTAAGTAGGGGGCAATAAACTGTCCTCTCTACTCTCTTGAGGTCAATTTTTGTTGCCCCTGCCATCCTGGGACAGAAAAGAGCATGTGGGCTTAGAGAGAGGACTTGTGGAAGTGAGACTTTGAGACAAGGAGCAGGGATGGCATTCATAGCAGTGTCACCTGCAGAGAGGCTTTACCAAAGTGTCTGTTTGTGTGCTTGTGCCTATTTGTGAACATCAAATATGTGGTTCCATGAAGAGTGTCTGTACTTTGGTATCCTTGACCCTGTTTGGTGGAAGAAGTTGTTTGCTTTAGTCACTAAGCTCTCTGGGATGCTTCCTTATCCTGCCATTGTAAGAAGTGACGTACTTGACTGCATCAGCTTGACCTGTGAAATGAAAGCTACTGCAATGTATCCTCCTTGATCTGAAAAGTGGGATCTGAGAAAAAAGAACCCTTCTGCCAGGCACTAAAATTAACCAGGACTGTCTGTGCTGACAGACAATACTTGCTTTAGCCTTCAAGGTCCTTAGGCAAACAAAAGATCCCTGAGTCTGCCTTGCATCTGTGCTGCTCAGTCTGTGTTGATGCCCAGGGAGCAGGTGCCTGCTGGGCTCCATGGCTTGTCAGTGTTCCTGCAGGGAGGAGCTGCTGCCACCACTTTCTGAGGGCAAAGACACTGAGATGTTTAGGGAGGACTTAAAATCTACTTTTATGTTGCATATGGAAGCTCCTGTCACCAAGTGCAAAAAGACCCCGAAGCTTTGCTGTGCTCCCAGCTTACCCTGGAGTAAGCCCTGCTAGCTTACATGTTGTGTTTATGCTTGCAGCTTCTTTCTGCAGCAGCCTGCAGCCTCACAGAGAGTGCTGACCCTGGAATCCGGCTGCAGGTACTTAACCTGCCTAAATGGGAACTCAGCCCTGGATGCTGGGCTCAAAGGAGTAACATAGGAGTGAGCCTGCTACAGGTGCGCAGCCTGTGAGTAATTCCTGGCACCCAGTCACTAAGGAGGGAATGTAGGAATAACCCTACATTTGCGTGGAAAATGCAGCAGCTTTTGGAAGAGAATTCATATTGTTTGGTCAATGAAGCAGAGTGCAAAAACATAACAGATTTATTTTCAATTCAAGCTCAAACATAATTCCTCTTGGTTCATGCTAATGCTCACAGGCACCTGAATCAGTTACGCAAATGTTTCTCCATCTCAGTATGTGCAGTTGTGGTGAGATTCAGCAGAAGATCCCCTTTGCTGTGTGCATGGAGGCATTTTCCAAGAGTACAGCACCAAATGGTTTGTTACATGATAATAATGTCACTCAGCCTGCTGTCCCATGTAACCCCATCAGTTTACAGCTGCAGTATTGCATAGACAGTTTGGAGGAAGGAGTGATTTCTGAGAACTTTATTCTCATTTTTACTGTAATTTTGGTTATGGAAACACCCTTATACTTCAGATATAATTACAGCATAAAAAGTCTCTACAATACTCTAATATAAAAAGGTAAAAATGATTTTGTTTATTGTTTTTAAGAGTCAGTGTAAAAAGTATTTTTCCAGTATTATTAAAATCTGTAAGACAGTGACGTGCACAAGGAAACTTCATGTTGTGTCATCTTCCTAACTCTTCTCTCCTCAGATGTATTTTGCAACTTGACTGGTTACAATGAATGTTGGTTTAAATATCCTGAAGTTCCTCATGTCCAATGTTGCTGCTCAAAACCAGGGTGCACTTTCTTTATCCTGCCCCATAACTAGGTGAATTCTTGGAGTAGCCCTTGTAAGACTTTTCTTATGCTCTGTAACTTGGAAACCAGCAATCCCTACTGGCACAGAATGCCCTGCAGACAGTCAGTTGTTTTCTTCTAAATATTTGTCTGGACAGTGTTACTGTAGGTGATGGTTTTATCTCATGTCTTCCACTGCTGCTCCTTTTTTTAACAGGATTTTCTGCTTCCTTGACCATCTTTAAGCCTGCAGTCTGGCAAAAGCCTGCAAGTGTTGTCTGCATTTTTTGAAAGAACAGATTTGGTTGAGAGAATGAGCAATCTCCTAAAGCTGTGCTGACTTTGGGGCATGATGGGGAGGTTGGTTCATGCAGGTGGGTGAAAGAACAAGAAGTGGGTGTTACTGGGTCTCAACTTCATATTTGAGGACGTGTGAGTAGAAGCTGTGGTTGGCATTCTCGTGCACCATCACAAACACCTCTCTGCACCCCGAGGTGTTGCAGGTTCCCTCCCAGCAGCCCTTGTTCTGGGTGAGAGGGTAGGTGTTCTCAGCCTGGACCAGCACCTTGGCAATGCCGTGCATTTTGAGTTTGAACTGGACGTTGCGGTTGGCCGGCAGCAGGCCCGAGAGCGGCTCCACGATCTCGTAGTCTTGCAGCCACTTGCTGTAGCTCTGGGGGAAGGCTGGCCACTTCACCTCCGTGTTCAGGCACCTGATGAGGTAGTTGAAGATGTAATCATAATTACCAGGGTCCGACTTCTTCTTGGAGTAGATTTTGAGAACGAAGCTCCCTGCGTGCGGGAGGTGGACCTTCAGCTCGATCTGGTTCCTGCGGTGGATCTGCAGCACGTGCCGCCTGCCCATGTCCTCGGCGAGGCTGCTGCTGCCGTCGGTGTGCAGCGAGGTCAGGACGCTGATGTCCTTGCTCAGGGTGAAGGTGAGGGAGCAGCGCCCGTCGTTGGTGTGCAGGACGGGCTCGCTGTGTGACGGCCGCAGGAAACCCTGGCGCTCTGAGAACCAGCTCGGCCCCACGGGCTGGTGCAGGTCCTTGGGGAAGCGCATGGCCTTGTCCACAGACTCGCACTCCACCACGTACTCCAGCACGCACTTGTAGACGTCATCTGAAGCCTCAGCCTTGGAGGGCTTGGCAAAGATCTCCAGCTTGTGGCTCCCTGTCTTCTGTGGGTAGATATCCAGCTCCATTCCGTGTCTTTTCAAAGTCATCAAACCCTGTTCATCTGTTCCCTTCAGCTTAAACATAAACAACGTGGCAGAACGGCAGTCCACGGATACAGAGGCTTTTCCATTTACTGGGAAATGCAAAAGAAAAGAGGCTGCATAGGAGTG